AATGATAATGTGCTGTCATCAACAGTTTCTGAAGCTGCATGAATATACTTTGAATTTAGGAGTTGTCCGATAAACTTACATATCTATAATTAATATCTACTCATCGAAATCTGTCATGTCCATTCAATCAGCACACTTTTCATGCGCAATTTCATTTCGTATTCATTCTACTTAATTTAGTTTGTAGGCAAGGCGCAATCATGACTATTTTGGTTGATGCTCATGCGTTCATTAGAATTGTAATGTTAATATCTGTAACTATCTGAAATTGATTGTCAATATACTAGCTAGTCTATGTAAACGACGACTGACTGTACTCAATTTAAGATGGTTTATTGACGAAATGCCTTTATGAATTTTTGACAGAAGTTATTTTTCTTAGAATATGAAAGTAACGATTTTTAATGAATTGTTTTTAATCAGAAGTTCCACAGTTGTAATCATTCAACAAATGTGTACATTGGTGACTCAATATTTTGAGAATGGCTCGACTGATCATACTAAAATTTTCCTTGAACATATATACGAATGAATTTAAACAGTGGAATTTTTGGTTTTTACATGAATTGTTACTTATAGATACAAAAATAATCATTATTTTGACGAAATTTGATGCTTCACATCACATGATCAAAATGAGATAGATGTCCAAGATTTTTGCTGTAGATAACACTAAACGGGTTCAATGTTTACTGAAAATTTCAGCTTTATACCGTCACACATTCGTTTGTATGGGAGGAGGGTCTCTTAATAATAAGATGATTCTAAAGAAAATGTCAATTTGATTATTTATTGCTCAAGAAATCGAACAAAAAAGAGATTATCGTTCATTGTGATCCATTGGATTATATGACAGAAACGATTATTGCTCAACTCAAAAAAAAAAAAACTTTTAATAATCAATTCACAATAGACAAAAAAGACATTGAAAATGAGAGTTGATTTAGATGTGTTCATCTAATTATGCATTATTTTCTTGAGATTGATTGAAATGGTTACTGGACGAATACTATTTGCTGTTATAATTTGTTGAATTTTGGTCACGATACTTGACGGGAATGATTTGCTTGACAAATCGAATAAGTTCCGCTCGATAGCATATATTGAATAATTGTTGTAGCATATTAACAACTAGAACAAAAATTTAATGATAATAAAAGAAAAAAACCAAAGTTGATTATGACTTATATCCTGTCGGCACTACATCAACATCAAATACGTGATGCATGTAAGTATGGTGCATATAATACAAGCTGTCATTTGAACAAGGAGCATGCGAACGAGTTGATTTTTGATTCGATGATATAGTCAAAGCATTAAATAATTTCATCAGACATGATACAATGATAGAGAAAAAGTTCACTTGTCCAATGACATATATTTTAGTGTTGAGAGTCGTCGTTTGAATATTACATCCAAAATACTTATCAAAGTGTTAATCGCAAAAGATAAAAGTATTTATATGAAATAGTACTCAGAATACAATCATGAACAAAATTGTCCATCGAACTACAATCAAACAGATAACGTAGCAATATATTGAAGAGATTTACACGAGAAAGGAGAAAGATTTTATATATTGATTGATTTGATAGCTATCGGTCAATAATTAATGAATAAAATAAGCAGAATAGAAGAAATTGCCGGCGATCAGTGCGAAAAAATGACGTGAAAATGCATGATTACGCAAGATAGATAGAGTGAAAATAGTAATGTTGAAAGAATTGCCGATAACACCCAAAACGATGATGATTGACTTAATAATTCGTAATACTTGTGTAGAAAGATCTACGAGAATGTCATCCATGATTTTTTTTATATTCAACTATAGCATCAATAGTTTTAACTTCCATGAAATATTCTTCTTGTTCACATAACAAAAACTTTGCACAGCTCGGCATCTGAAAATGATAACATTTTTTCAAACTGATACTCTGTCATTATGAATGTTATGTTTGAGTATTCGAACAGAAACTATTCATGAATTGAGATTTAAACTTTCACCTCTTTTCAAAAGACATCATGAGGAATGTCAAGTAAAAGATGAACCTAATTTTCACATTCTTCTTCTAAATGTCAATTTTCTTTCGAATCAAAGTTGTCTATGGTTTCTTGAAAGTTTAGTACTCTGCAGTATTTTATGTAAATTTAAAGATAATATTGAGAAAAATTAATGTTTAATAATGACTTTAAATTATCTAAGAAGAATGCGAGAATGATTTATTTGAATTAGTCAGTGATTTCGAGTTTGACAAATACAAATGATTCAAGTTAAATCTTCAATATTTCATGGTAGAAAATTAGAGTTTGCATATTTTAGATGATATATAGATTCGAATCTCTCAAACATTCTATTAGGTTCTCTAGACTTCTCCATCGAAAGTCTGGAAATAGTATTTAACTCGTTTTGTCTGTGTGCTTGTCTCTCTAAAATACATTTTTTTTGAATTCACTCTTTGCTTGAGGGTGTGTGTTATGGTCTTGACTTTCTGTATTTCTAAAACTTTTTAAAATTTGTTTCTTTTTCAATTTTCTCTTGAGATTGGTTAACAATTGGGTGCTGTATTATTTTAATTGATTTGTGTATTGCGTCTCTCCAGTTCGACAGTGTGTGCATATGATGCTGACTGTGCACACACAACAACCACATTCACACCCTACTGTTCACCTGTCATTTTTCCTGTTCTCCCTTTTTCTATAAATATATATATATATATATATATATCTGTTTTAGAAAAGAGAATTAGAATACCATTAGCATGTGAGATGGATTTGCGCATAGCTGTAGATATTCATCTAATCCAAATACTCAATTTTATCATGATTCAAGACCTGAGTTGCAAATCAAATTCTGTTTTGACAATATGCATGTTGAACTGTTCTGACAATAGATGAAAAAAATAGGTTTTAAATACTTCTGGTTTCCATGCTATAGTCCTTGACATTTTGTAACATCAGAAGTTAGATTATGTCACCTGTTGCTATCAAACAGATTCCATTCATTTGAAAGCAATTGATGATTTCCAATACGATCTTTACGTTCACTTCGACGTCGATCAAAATTTTTGATTTTGCATTCAAATTGATTGATAGATAACTAACTGTAAATACTTTAAGAGTGTGAATATTTCGAGTAAATTCTATCATGATGACCTTGTGTTGCTATAGGATGTGTGCGTATGGGTATGGATGTGGTACGTGGAAGTGCAAGTGCGCATGTGGTTATAGATATATAGGCGTGATCTGTCACTTCAGCTACACCTACACCCGCAGATAATAACCTTGATTATGAAGAAAATTCAATATAATTATTTTCACTACTTATTCAATCGTAACAGAGTGACTAAGCATTATTTTCACTATATAGCAATGCGTTAATATCTAGAATCTTTTAGATTTAATGATAAATTTTATGTTACATGTCCATTGGATACGAAAGCATATTAAATAGTTTATATTGAATTTAAAATATTTCAAGACAACATGGAGCATTAATTACATAGTTCATGGCATAACTATTTAATCAATGTATAGAACCGATAAATGACGATGCTACATTTATTGATGCATGAAGAATTGAAAATATGTAGACTTTATTGAAAGGAAAAGTACCAGGGAAAGCACTGAATGCATCGTTAAAACTAGAGAAAGGGATTGCCAAAACATAATGCATGAAATGTCTTATCAATTATTAGTGGTCATAGAAAACAATAGACAACAAGTTTATATACATTGGCTTTTATGATAATTTAAGTTTTGGAACAAAAATTTATTTTCTCAAATTTGTTTCCATCAGATGTTTATAATATTACTAATCGAGAATAAAAGCACTATGACAAGAATCAAATTCGAAAATTCGTTTATTTAAGTATTACTTTTAGTCAATAGCTAATCGTTGTTGACAACACGTCGAACAATGATCAACAATTAGCAATCAATGAAGTATCAAATGAACATGGACAATTTTTTAACAATGGAGAAGCTATGACCATTAAAATATTTTTTTTTAATTATCTACATAAATCATTATGTAGGTATGAATCAATCAGGATTTTTGATCAATATTTCGTGAATTCTGAATCAAATTTTATCCACGAAACGATTGATCTTTAACGACAACATGTGGGCGTGGGTGTGGGCATACTTTATTATTCATCCTCAAAGCCACACCCACACCCACCCACACCCTTAGCAGTCAATGCAATGATTAATAATAGTGATCATTTTAAAAGAATTTGTAAGACATAGAACTATTCATTTGAAGATCAGGTGAAAAATGGCGTGGAGAAGTTCAAATTCAAGCCCTTTCTATAGCCTTAATTCAGCCGATTCATTTATATGTCAAATTCGAGAGTAATCCAAAAAATAGACACTATATTCCATCCGATACCAGTCTACAAAGATTGATCGATCGATTCGATAAAGGAACCGTACGTGGTCATCTTAAATGTATTGGATACAAATCAGATATGAACAAATTGAGTTTATGTATTTATTTCACCGTAAGTCATTATGATGCTCTCTTACCTTTTCTAAATAATCCTCAACAATTTATACCTAAACATGATATAATTAATATGAGTTTATAAAATGAAGGAAGGTTTCATAAACTCATCAAAATAATTAATTAAAATAAACAAATTTTCATTTATGTAAATAAATAAGGACTCCAGAGCTAACTCCTTACCGCGTCCCACGGGACAGAAAGAGAGCATCGACAGTGCATAAGGGGCAGTTCCTTGCTAGAGGTCAATAAATGAAAATAAATTTGTTTAGGATAATTGAATAAGAAAAAGAGAAAAACGTGTTAACCTGAATGGAATAATCTTATTCCATTGCGGTAAAAGTGTAGTTGTAAGTAAACGATCAGGAAGTTCTCTTAAATATTGTTTAAGTGTACTTGCAGAGACATGTGGATCATAATTAAGTTCATTTAATGTTGTGCCTCTATCAATTGTTTGTAAATTAAGTTCAGCAACAATGTTTTTCTGTTTTCCGTGTCATGGTGCAATACGAAAAAGATCTTCTTCATTTAAACTATTTTCTAATAGATGAATACATATTTCAATTGGATAAGCAATTAATGTATCTTTTCTTTTTAAACAATGTTTTATAAGATCATAACCAAATAATGGAATTAAATCATCATTTTCTAATCTTTGTTCAATTTCAGGCATTTTTGATGATAAATATCGAGATATATTATTATAAAATTGATTTTCTTCATATAAATATTGATAAAAAAAGTTTAATTGTAATCGAATGTTCTTCGCTAGCTATTTTATATGTTTCAGTTGCATATATATCACGTGATAATGTTCGAGATTGTTCACATTCACGACGAATATCTTCTAATTCACGTAAACGTTCATCAAAATTTGCTAATGTTAAACGATCAGATCGTGTTTGAAATCTTAACAAAACAATTAGAACATTTTTTATTTTAAATAATAAAAACAGAAACTTTTTAAAATTGGCATCAGCTGTTTCTAATTTTTGTTGAGCTTTTTCATAATTATCTCTTAGTTTAGTCATTGTTTGACGAATAGTTGACTTATATTAAAAATCAATCAATAAATAGATACTTGTTTATCTCAAGCTTGTTCAATAATTTTTTAAATTGTTCAAGCCATTCTTTTCTTTTTGAATCAATAAAATCATGTATTTGAATAAAATCATGTATTTGAATTAATTCATCAATGGTTTGATTTAAAATCGATAAAGTACCACTTGTTCTATATGGAGAATGATAATAACGTGCAACATCACTCAAACGAAATTCTTTTAATGTTTTTGATACATCATTATCAATACTTTTATTTAACTAAACATTTGTATTATTTTTTTTTGTTTTTTTAACTGAATTATTTAACTTACAAAATCTTTATCTGTTTTCCAAAGATCAGACAATACTTTACAAGAATCTGAAATATAACGAACTCGATTGTATTAATCAGGTACATCATCACTTCTATATTAATAAATATAAAGAAACAAAATATTTTCATTTTTTTTTCGAATTTCTTTGTTTAACCATATCGATAAATATTCTATTCAAATAAATTTATTGTCAAAACGTTTTTATGAGGATCGATTAAATTTATTTCCTTAGAAATTTTTAATCGATAATTCGAACTATTTTATCATTATTTCGTCTTATAGAACGTTTCTATCTAGCAGTTAAAAACAGATTTTCGACAAAACACGTTCAAATCGGATGAAATATTAATCATTTGTTAGCGATCGTTCAGTAGAGAGAAATAAATTGTGCCAAAATTGTTCAGGTCAATATAATGTTTCTAGGATAGATTATTAAAATAATAAATAATATTCGTTGTCAGTCTTTATATAATAAGATAATCAATACAGATTCATCTAGAAATCGATTTATATAATAAATAATGAATTTTTGACCAAATGCAAGGAGATAGTTAACTATTTAAATTAGCTTTGAAAAAATAACAATAAAGATTTAATATGAAAGTTTGGTTTTTTTAATTCTACGAATATGAAAACTATTCTTTAAATCTATTTAAATAATATAAAACGTTTGGTTCAGTTTGAATACTCTTCAAAACAAATGATATTTTATTTCTAAATAAAGAGTTTTTTTAATGAAAAAACAATAATATATAATTATTATCTTAACTCGACAATAATAACAAAATAATTTCACTGTAAAACTATAGAAAAATTTTTCACAAAAAAAACACTAGCAAATGGTTAACTCAATTAAATTAAAATAAATAAATTGAATAAAATCTTATTTCTATCAATATTAGTCTAATCATTGAAATGATTTATTATATTAATATAAGATTTCATTTATTTATTTAAGGATTTGATTTATTTCAAGAAATATCTTCCGTTCGTATAATATATGTTAAATCGATCGAGTTATTTCGATTTCTATTGAAAATAATTCTTTGAATATATTATATCTTTCGAATATAATTTATCAGTGTTTTTTTCTCCTCATTTCAATATTAAAAAACTATTTTATTAAATCGAAATAAATCAAACATAAATAAAGATAATAAATGAGATTTATTTTTATTTTTAAATAGAATATATAAATTCTATATATTATTTTATTTTTGAATCGCTAATATAAATAAATCTATTAATATTATAATATAACTATATTCAATAGAATTACAATTCTACTAATAAAATAAGAGAAACATCTTATTATATAAATCAATTATTTAAAATGCTAATTAAAGAAATATATATATATTGAGAGTGTGGGTGGGTGTAGGTGTGAGTGTATGGGTGTGAGTGTGTGGGTGTGAAGAATGGGTGTGTGTGTATGAGCGAATAGATGACTCACAACCACCCACACCCACACCCACACCCTTTTTGGCAATAAAAAACGCATATTTTGACTTTTTTCGTTGACAAAAGTACCTCTTAGAAAATTGCGAATAACATCAGATAGAGAGCGTTAAAATATTTTTCGAATAAGAGTATCGGATCTGGACCGACTTCTACGGAGAGACTCATGATAGAAATACCCGAACCAAGTGCCAACTAGACCTACGATAGCGATGGCATCAGCTAGAAGATCTTAAAGACTTGAAAAGCATGGAGAATATATTCTAGCATCATTTATTGAGCACGAATAGTGGCAATAGAGTTTTATAATTTAGCATCTTTGAATATTGTTTCATTTTGTGTTTGAAAGTAAAAGTCTACGAAGCCTGGTATCACGTCCTCAGATTTCTTCAATACAAGTAACTTAGTTTCTAAATTTGGATTCCATAGCACCGATTGACCATTAGAGATTTCCAGCAACGGTTTTTCTGTATGTAGAAAAGCTGAATTCTTACAATGGGTATCGAATGATATGGCACCACGGAAGCCAACTTGGAAACAAGGTAGTCGATATAAACCACAATAGCCAGTGAAGAAAGTTTCGTTGTAAGGATCGACGAGAGCTATCTGTACGTGCGTATAACGTTCCCTGGAAAATGTCATACCAGTTAAATGTTTGGGATGATGCACATGATTAAAGTAAACGTTTAAGCCAAGACTATCTGTCTTACACAGAGTAACGCCGCAGAATGTACGATTTTCAATATATCCATGGGAGCATGGTATTCCAACAATGTAGTAAGGAATCCTCATATATCGAAATGCTATTCGGAAAGTATCCTTATCGCCATGACTGAAGAATTTATTGTAGAAAATATTCTGATGATCACTCATTAATTTAGTCAGATGAAGTCCGCTCCAGACCCTCTTTTTGTCAAAGAGTAAAACTCCACTATCTAATTCATATTCATTACGTACGCATGTCATATTTAGTAATGACCAAAGCTGCGGGTGTTGATGGCTCATATAAATATCAGAATAAAAGAGTACTCCAAATTTTTGATACATTGGATCTTCTGCAAAAAGATAAGTAGGATCTCGCACTATGTAACAGTCCGAATCCAGAAAGATTACTTCAGCAAATGTTGAACTCAAAATCGCGGCTGGTTTGAACGTATATACTTTTCCGTGGACATTTTTCGTGTTAGGTGCATGAACGTATCTTGCTGTAAGCTCAATTTCTTGACCGTTAGGCAAGTGGCATCGAATTGTTTCAAAACAGCATGCTTTCACATTCAGTTTGGGAACTGAACTTATTAACTCATTGGCAACGTTCTTACTGATCTGTACAGATGAATACCACAGTTCAACCGGTAATTTTGTTTGTGACCATTCAATGATACGCAAGTTCAATCTAGTATGTAGCAGTTGATTCACTCCTGTTGTTAGAACAATACCTTGACCTTTGAAATAATTATGAGGATACGGTATAACTTTAGTTCTCAACTGAGGGAGTAACTTAACAGCAGCATTTAGAGTTGTCTGATCTTCTGCTTGTAATTGTGCACCTGGTGGGCAAATAGCTAAAGGATCATTGTAGACCATGCCATGAGTAGACAGAAAACGTTGGATGGCTTGATTGAAATGAAGTTTTCTGTTCTCCAGTGGCAGAAATGATCCTTCATGTGAAAATAAATGAAATCTTTCCAACAATAATTCACTATTATAATAAATAATGACACACAGTAGTCCAAAACCAATAAAGACAATAAAATAACGAGATAAAAGAGATTTTCCCAGTAGTATCATTTAGATATCGGCTATTGATCTAAACAGCGAGCATCTATTTAAATCAATACAACGAAATCTCATGGATAAATTCATATGAACAAAAATTAAACTCAAGTAATTTTCAAGATCTGTTCCACAGTGCTTCTTTAAATTGATTTTCTAGCAGTTTTGTAGGCCTCTGTGAGTGCTATCAACTCACTATAAGTGGTGCCGATTCTATATAAAGTGATGGAGAACGATGACATTGACTTCGACCTGCCTAAAGTAGTTATAGATGATATATTTGTAGATGCCCATACTGCACTGTCAAAACTTGTAACGGAAAAATGGCATTAAAATGATCGAAAATTTAAATCATTATAATTCTGAAAAACTGTCACGGAATAACCCCCAAAAATGCCTGGTGTGTTAGGCATTAAAATGGTTAATTTAAATGAAGAGAAAATCATTCAGCATTAACACAAAATAATGTATACAAATCAAACCATTTTTTGGTATTTTTTGTGACAGATTTTCACCCTTATTTTTATTTCTTTCTGGACCATTTTAATATCATGTTTTCGTTACAATCTCTGCCTGAGTATCATCCATCATTTCCCAAGACATTCTCCAAATCAACAGTGCAACATAAACAATTTTCTAAAATAACTTTTTGTTACTTTTATGATTAAATTCTTGCATAAGTATTTCTTTCGATGTTACTTTTCTTAGTTGAAAAAATATGCGAAATCGTTTTCAGATTGAGATAGTTCAATTTATTTATATTTGAACAAGCTCTGACTTAAATACATTGAACTATTCAATTTGAAACCAATTGGCACATTTTTTCAACTAGGAAAAGTAACGCCGAAAGAAATATTTATGCAAGAACTCAATCATAAAAGTAACAAAAATTTACATTATAAAATTGTTTATTTCGCATTGCTGATTCGAAGAATGTCTCGGGAAATGACGGATGATGTTTGTATTATAAACAAAAAATTTTGTGAAGAGTTAAAGACAAATTGATTGAAAAAAATTAAGCCTGAAAAAATGAATTTAAAAGAAAATACATTTGTTTCCTCAGTGTAAATCGCGCTGATGTTCGGATGAAAATTCTAGTCAATCATCTTAAAAAAAAGCAATCTATTTCACTAATCAATTAGAGTCATTTCTATTGTTTCATAAACATTTGATGAAATTGAGTGCACAACTTACAATATTATTGTTTGATCATTTTCATAGCGTGCTTAACTGATATCTCGCATCAATTTTTTGGTATAAATAAAGTCTTAATGAACTGTTTAAAACAATATATTTTCGCTATTCTTTGGTGCGATAATAACACTTAGATCGATCCAAAAGTAGTGAGAGTGACGCTTTAATGCCTTATAGTAAGCTGAAGGAGAGTTTCTTTTCATATGAAACGATAGAGAAAAAAAACGCTCTATCTTTCTATGCTATTTGATCATACTTTAGTTAATATTATGATAGGAGAGTTTTCAAAAGATTCGTTTTGGTATTATGTGTTTTGGTTACGACAATACATACAGGATGATCCATAAGTAAGAAAACACAGTATTTGTTTCGATTTCTTTCTTATACATTATCAGTTAGGACTCATATTTATATTACAGGTACATCTTTGATTACTTAACTTGCTCTGAAAGTTTTAGTCCTAAAGAATGAGAATTTGTTGAGAAAAGTACAAATATGTCTCATGTACTCAAGCAGTAGTGAACCAAAATATGGTGTTTTCTTGATACATTTTCTTTTTTTCTGCTA